CTATGTCCATTTACATAACACTTTATTTATTTAAGTTAATATTAGTCTCAAATACGTTTTTTAAAACGTAATATTATAATTTAATTGTAATCTTTAAATGCAATTAAATTATAATACTGTAATAAAAAAAGCATTTGAGATTAATAATAAATTTTGTGTAAGTGTCCGGACACTGGGACGTTTACCTTATATGTATATCATTTCTAGAAAAATAAACTTGTTCGATTGGGTCATTTTCTTTCGGCCGCGTGTTATTTTTATTCCGTTGCAAAATCATTGGTTATAGTAAATGGCGTTAGAGATTTCATATTTCACGAGTATTGAGCGAACAAGAGGAATGAGACCGACACGCGAATGAAGTACGATCGCGCAAATTCACTATCATATCACCGTCAATATAGTGTCATGTATTAATATCGTCGTCACCATGATGTAAGGAGATTCTTACAACACGGTCGTCATGGCTTGGTTCCACCAATGTAAGATTAATTTTAGTTTAAACTTATTGTTTATCTTTTTCAGATTAGTTCTTAGAATCTTCGAATTCTTAAAAGAAAAAGAGTAAAATAAACCAAAATTAAAATTAATCTTACATTGGGATGGAACGTCACCGGGCTTTGTTTGTTTTTTTATCTGCACTATGGACTGAACAACTGAATTAGAATTCTCTTTCTTGCTTTCGTCAAATATCAAATATATATCTATTTCATTTTAAGTTCTAAAAGTGTACACTAGTTCAGAATATATTAAACAGATCTAGTTGAAACAAAACCACGTTTAATTGGCGTTCAGTCAGCGTCAGTTGACGTCACGCCGCCACTACTATTGGATTGCGTGAGACGAGTGAGTTTAGATAATGGAAAGGAATAAACGTACCGGCAAAAGCAGAATTTTACCGCGCGATGCGCAGAACCATCACCGGACGGAATCGTCGGAGACGGTACCGTTATGTCAAACTCGTGCTAACCTAAGCAACGGGGGAGCGTGCGTGGAAAACCAACCACCTTGATTGCGAAAAATCTTAACCAAGCACGGCCAAGCGAGGCCGACCCGAAACTCTCGGAAAAGTACGGAAGTTTTTTTTTAAAGTCGACCAGTCACGACCTCGTGGAGGTCCAGCCGCTAACGGATGTCTCCAGTGGCATCCAGCTGTGTCAAGCGGCGCTGACGTGGGCGGCGGGCGGTCAGATTTTGCGAGTTGCCTTTTAAACGACAGATTTTGCATCTCATTTCCGGCTGGGAGTCTCCGACGTGAAAAACGTGCTACTAGTACTAGTTTTTGTCTCTCGCTTCGTCTCTTGGATAGAGATTCGACGTTCTCTTTCTTTCCGGATTTGTTACGTGGATCTTAGGCGATGGAAGTTCGGCGCAGACGAGCAAGACCGCAGGATAGCAAGCACGACGCCGACACAACGACGAATCAGCCGAGGACGGTTCAGAGGGATGAGGTGAGCCGCAACGCCCGCGACCTTTAAATACGACGATTTTCTTAGTGGATGCAGACCATGCAGGTGGGAGATCTGCTAGAAAATGCAGAGAATCTTACGCGGAAGTATCTCTGCAGCGATTCTGCATCACTTCGAGTGAACAGTGCAATATGAATTTTTTAATTTGCCGTAGTGAGAAACTAGGAGCATTCTGATTTATGGATCGAGAAAAATCTTAATTAAAAATCTCTTGTATAATATCTTATATAACTGATATATCATACTAATTGTGATGTATATTATATTGGATATGATGTACTACATTGTTCATTTTTTTTTATTAAAGAATGCTAAAGACCGGTTTTATAAGAGAAAAATGTTTTTATGTCATTAATATCAATTTTATAGATTTTTTCAGTATTTATATCTTGACCAATTAAATTTCAGAAATAAATTAGACAATGCTATATCTTCTAATTTAGTTTCAAATATATTGTAACAAAAAAAATCTGACAAAAAGTAAAAGTCCATTATATTTTATTGACATTGTGAGATATTTAATAAATTAAAAAAAGATTTAAGATAGAAGTCTCCTTCTTACTCTACACTGTTAAAAATTTCATGAAAATTAATATACTTTTAATTTACACAATTTGAACTTAATTTCATTTACATTAAATTTAATGTGTTTATAACTGAAATGTATATTTGTGTACATGTACATGAAATTTAATGTATTTTTCATGAACATTAATGTACTTTCCAGAAAATTTTATGAAAAGTACGTGTACATGAAATTTCATAAATTTAATGTACACGTTCATTACATTTAAGTAACTACTGTAACTTAATTTTCAGTTAAATCATTTATTACTTTTAATTTCGTTCATAACCACAAGCTTCATTTACATGTAAAGGAAGCTCGTGATCACATTTCTAACAGTATACTTTGCAAAGAAGAAATAATTGATTTTAAATTTATCAAAAGATGTAAAATTGAAAGAACAAGTATGACACTCCATATATTGTATTAAAAATCTATTACATTTATATATGCAATAAAAAAATGGAATTTTTAAATTATATGTATATCGATATATATATATTTAAATCCTCTATTTTTTTCATCACATAAAAACATATTGATTAAATAATACCTCAGCAAGATTTCTATACAGATATATCTTTCAGAATCATTATTTTCATTGCTTGCAATTTCTTTCAAAATCAATTAATTATCAAATATGATTGCATTGTGTTGATTATTGTACTAATTTTTATTTGTTACAGACGAATGGACAGACAGATTCGAATACTACTTTGATAGAAAGTAACAAAGCAAATTCATCATATTCTGTCGAGTCAAAACAACCTCTATCAAACAATGTGGTTCACGCTCGAATCAGGATCAGCTTGGAAATTGACTTGATAGCGGTGATTTTACTAATTTCGGGTATTTGTACTCGTCTTTATTGCCTCGAGGAACCGCGCAGTATAGTGTAAGTGTATACGCATTTTTGACAAATAATATAACGTTAATAGAAGAGAAATTAATAATTGATATGTTATGTCATTATGATGATATGGTGATACGGAATTTTATCTGCTTATAAGTAATTCAAAAACTATAATATTTTACTTGTATAGTTTTCTATTATTATTTCTAGATTCTTTGGAACATTTTAGGACGAAAATGTTGAAGCTATAATAGTTTTTGAATTACAAACTATCTTTGATCAATTATAATTCAAAAACTATTGTAGCTTCGATGTTTTCATATTAGGATTTTTTACTCTACCTCTAGAATATAAAAGTATTGTACAGTGGTTGTGAAACACCCTGTGTATATATATATATTATATATAATATATATATATATAACATACATATATATTTATTCATTTCTTATTTAATATGTGGGTAGAGCAGTGGAATTTACCGATTATAAGGTTGATTATATAAATCAAAAAATTTAATGACTAATATTGGTTTTCATCCATCCATTCAATTATTATGTTGTTTATATTAGTCTATTATAATTACTCGTCTGTGTTATAGTTTCGACGAACTACATTATGGCAAGTACGTCGGATTATACATGAAGAGGACGTTCTTTTTCGACTCCCATCCGCCTTTAGGGAAGCAATTGATCTCTGCAGCGGCGTACTTCGCTGGATTCGATGGACAATTCAAGTTTGATAGGATTGGAAGTCCTTACAGCGACGCAATTCCTTTATACGCGTTGCGCTTAGTACCGGCGATATGCGGCAGTTTACTGATCCCTACAGGATATTATCTTGTCCTGGAATTGGGTTTGAAGCAATGGGCCGCAGCAATTGGTGGAACTCTACTCTTACTCGGTAAGAGTAGAGTAGAATTTCTATTCTACTCAAATCAAAAAATGTGTTACGCAGAAGATTGCGCGACTATATGCTGTTCATCCCCATTTCTCTCTCATATCATATTCTATCTTCATTTCTATCTTTGGATTAAAAACATACTAGCATATTTAATGTTTAAATTCTGTTATGCTTGAGTTGAAGATAACGCATAATGACGAGATTCTATTGTATACACAGTATAAGTCACATATACACATAATTTGTTACTTAAATATTAAATCCAGCCGTTGATATCTTTGCTATAATAAAATTAAATTTATATCTTTACTACTGCGGCCCTATAACGCATAGTATCGACATGGTTGACTTATATAGATACTTGCTATTTTAGATAACGCACTGTTGACACAGTCAAGATTTGTCCTGATGGAAAGTATCTTGATGTATTTCTCGTTGCTCGGCTTGTTATGCATTGTAAAATTTCGGAAAGTTATGGATCGACCAACATCAGCATCTTGGTGGATATGGCTGATACTAGGCATTGTAAATTTAACATGTGCATTATGGTACGATTACAGTCTTTTTTCATTTCTCATACTTATTCTCGATTGAGTGTAATTAAAGTATTTCTTTACAGCGTCAAATATGTTGGATTTTATTCCATGGCCCTCGCGCTCTTCTTAATCGCTCACGATTATTGGTCTCTGCTTTCAAGAAAAATCCTGTCAAACACAATCTTGTGGATTCATCTTTTACTAAGATTTGTTGTATTAATCGCTGTTATTGCCGCCGTATATTTGAGCATATTCTACGTACATTTAGCAGTACTCTCGAAGGCGGGACCGCACGACTCAGTAATGACGAGCGCATTTCAAGCGAGTCTGGAAGGAGGACTCGCCAGCATCACGAAAGGACAGCCTTTGGAAGTGACGCATGGTTCGCAGATTACTCTCAGACACACATACGGCAGAGCCTGTTGGCTGCACAGTCATAATCAAGTGTATCCGTTACGATATCCCGATGGTCGCGGCAGCTCTCATCAGCAGCAAGTCACTTGTTATTCGTTTAAAGATGTTAACAACTGGTGGATCGTCAAGAAGCCGGACAAAAATGACTTAGTAGTAATGAAACCCAGCGAGCCCATTCGGCATGGCGATGTGATTCAATTGGTACACGGAATCACGAGCAGAGCGTTAAACTCACACGATGTTGCGGCGCCGATGACACCGCAGAGCCAGGAAGTGTCGTGTTACATCGATTACAACGTGTCTATGCCAGCGCAGAATCTATGGCGGGTGGAGATCACAAACAGAGATCATTCTGGCGACGCATGGCACGCGATTCAGAGCCAAGTGCGGCTGATACACGTGCACGCGAATGGAGCCGAGTTTGCGTTGAAGTTTAGCGGGAGGCAACTGCCCGATTGGGGTTTCAATCAGCACGAAGTTGTAGCGGATCGGCTGATAGACCAGACCAATTCCATCTGGAACGTTGAAGAACATCGATATACTAAAAGTGAGGACCAGAAGCAACGAGAACGGGAACTGATCAGTGCGGAGATGATACCATTGCAGGCGACCGCGTTGAGCTTCTGGGAAAAATTTGCAGAGCTGCAGGTCAAGATGTTATTTAGTGGCCAAGAGGGTCAAAACAGCCACATGTATTCCAGTGGACCTCTTGAGTGGCCGTTAATGTCCCGCGGGATCGCATACTGGGTGTCTAACGAGAGTAATGTTAGTAGGAAAATTTTACACGAAAATGCTTGACTAATCGACAAATATTGTTAAGACGAAATGAGGCATATTTCAATTATATTCGATATTTTTCTAATTTTTATACTTTTTTCCGTTATTCAATGTTTCTAACGAATGCTTTATCAATAGACAGTTTCAAATTTTTTTCGCTGACTTTTATAAGGTAAACATTTTATTCATTGTTTCAGGCACAAGTGCATCTTTTAGGGAATATCGTGATTTGGTACTCTGGCACGATCTCAGTAATTGTATATGTAACACTACTGACATTCTATTTAATGAGGAGAAAAAGACAATGTTTTGATATCCCAGAAGAAGAGTGGAAAAAGTTTGTTAACAACGCTTACGTACTATTAGCTGGATATTTGCTTCATTTCTTACCTTTTTTATTCGTTGAACGAACTTTGTTCTTGCATCACTATTTACCAGCTTTTATTTTCAAAATCTTATTAATGGCAGCCACGATTGATCACCTGTATTATTTAATTAGGTACGTTGTTTGTGGTTTAAAAATGCAAGTTTAAATTCCATTACTATTGTTCACATAAATAATTATATGAGAATTATTTGTTATATCTTCTATTTCAGCACACATCGTCCAGCATGGAGCATTTCATTGTATATCATAACGTGTGGTATTATTGCTTGGGTACTTTTTATCATCTATGTGTTCAAGAAATTCATTGTGTTTAGTTATGGGACATCAGCTCTCACTGCCAAGGACGTGATAAAATTAAGATGGAAAGATACCTGGGATTTCATTGTACATAAAACATAAGAGTTCGCCAGGTTTAAACATTACAAAGCCTGTGTTATACAAGATGTAATATTTTTTTAACTAGGACGTTATATATTGAAACACATGACATTTACAAAACAGACGATATTAGTATATTTTTATGAAAAAATTTGGCAAATGTTATTGCTTATAAATGCACACATGTGTATACGACGAAATATTTTGTTATAATGGAGCAACAAGTGCCACGAATATGGGATGACATATATAACGATGAGTCCTTTCATAATATTGTAAAAAGTTAAACATAAAAATATTTGTGTATAGACTGATTCTTTTTTATAAAATGTTTTATCGTTAACAGTATTTGATATTGTAGAACTCGCAAATATATATTTAGAAAAAAACAATATAAATGTATAAGCCTATGTATTTTAGTATTAATTAATTTAAAGAGGTGTGTGTGTGTGTGTGTGTGTGTGTGTGTGTGTGTGTGTGTGTGTGTGTGTGTGTGTGTGTGTGTGTGTGTGTGTGTGTGTGTGTGTGTGTGTGTGTGTGAGAGAGATTTGTTTATAACAGGTATAATTAAAACATAAAATTGTGTGTGAAACTTTTAAGTTACAATTTTTTTACCTTTTACATTGTATTCTTAAGAATTGTTTTTTGTATTGAAAAAATAGAAATATGAAAAAATTTATATCATGTAAAAAAGGGGAAAGATAATAAAAGCATTTAAATAGTCAAATTCAGGTTTGTCATTTTGTAAAAAGAGTACATTATAATATAACATCAATACTGTATAAGTTAAAGAAAACGATGTCTATAGAATAAACTGTATCTTTATAACTAGAACCAATGAATATATTGACACAATTTCACCAAGGTCATGAAAGTTGCAATGAAAGACGTCGATGAGCTTCAAAAAATAAGATAACGATAATAAATATAATGTACAACGTAAGAGTAAATTTCTATCTTATCACAATATATAAATGTAAAATATGTATGCTATTTTTTATCTGTCACCTGTTTCGTTGTGTTAATGATATGTGAAAACTATGGATCGAATAAGACCATCACGAACTGCATGTGCAGTATTACCCACACCGAATGAGAAGAACACAGAATCACAGGACATGTTTTGGGCGCAAACTCCTACTGGATACCATCCAGCCTTATTAAATACAACGCCAACTCGATAAACCTGTTAAGAAGAGAATACTATAATACAATTATCAATCAAAAATATTTTAAAAATGAGAAGCTTTGATGTTTGAGAATATACAAAAAGATATTGTTTTATGAATTTGAGATACATTTAGTTGATTGTACATAGTGGAAAAAATAATTATATTGTAATGACAAACCTTGTGCTTTTGAATGTAAACTGGTCGATTGAAAGTGATTTCTACGAGAGTACCAAAATTTGCTTTAGTAGTGAAATGTGTATATGTCAATCTGGTACCGTCACAATCGAGGAGATGAGCGTATAAAATTTCAGTATAAGACGAATCAGCATCTATAGCGTGAGTGAAATTACTCGCCTATAAATGAAACGAGTGAGCTGTATGAGCGGTATATATTGGACGGATATAGTAAATTACATATATAATCTCTAACTTACCGCCGCGATTTGCGTAGGAACCTGTACACCCACCACACAAATATTTTTATCTACACTGAATGTGACGGAACAGTCCAACACGTTTGTATTCAAGCAATCCGTTTGCTGAACTACCGATCTGAGACAATAATATTTTGGTCCCTCGCGAACAACTACTCCCGTGGAAGAAGTATTGGGCAAGAGAGAGTTTCCAGAGTCTTTATTTATGCTCGCATCCACTAGTATCGGCGATGTGTTCCGCATCGTACTGCTGCTAGATTCTCCATCATTTAAAAAGCCAGAACGTACAGGAATATTTAAATTGCCGTACGGAGCAAAAATATGTCTCGAAGTCATCATCTAGACAGGGAAATGGATCCAATGAGGAAAATGTTGAAATGTTACGTGTGCGCGATGCACATTTCTTATTTCTATTGTAATAAATGTGTGAAATATATTTGTAAAAACAGAAGAAATCTATTTAAATTTACAATAACTGAATAAAGGGATTGTAGTCATTATTACTGTTCTATATGCGCATATCAAGCAACAAATGTAGAGTATAAAAATAGTAAAGGAAAACAAAATATATGAAAAAATTAAGAGAAATAAATCTATTTTCGGTCAAAGTGAAACTTAACGCTTAAATATTTCAAAATGAATTTATATGCATATCCAATTCTGCAAACCGTCGAAATTTTTTTCGGTTTTGAAACGCAATCATGGACAGAACTAGAGTAATATCACATTTGACAAACAATTTAATAATTTTTATGTTAATAAGCATCTTAGGAGAATAGTAATAATTTGATGCTAATCTAAACATCTTAAGAACTGTAAATAATTTAATTTTTTGCAAAAGTATATGAAAGTATAGGGTGACCATCCATATTCTTTTCTCCTGGATATGTACTCTTTTTTTCGGGCGTTCAGGCAGATTTTCAATGTGTACTCTTTTTTTGCACTACTTTTGGAACTTGGGAGCGAGCGAAGGGATCGAAAGTTATTAAATCAATGGCTGTGTTCAGCAGAGAAAGCAACTTTTTTTTGCAACTGTTGTAAAATTCTTTAATACAATTGGTTCTTGCTTTTGGTTCCTTATAAATCTAAATGTATAAACCAATCATATTGAAGAATTTTACAACAGTTGCAAAGCTGCTTTTTCTGTTGAATGCAACCTTTCTCTTTTTTCAACGTTCAAATATATATCTATCTCATTTTAAGTTTAAAAGTTGTTTACATAAAGTTGTTTTGTTCATACTGTCTAAATGAATTTAAAAAAGGTTTAAAAGGAATACAAAATAATCCAAGTCTCAGATCAACAATGTCTGCTTTTATTTTATTCTTCGTTTTCTGTTTTTTCGCGTCTTTGTGAAAAAAAAATGGTAATGTACTACTTTTGTACTACTGCTGATTTTGATTTTGTACATCCATGATGGATGTCCTATTTCGTGTACATTGCATTTGGTCACCCTATGAAAGTGCGAAAGAAAAATGACAACTTACAGGAAACATTCCCATGTTCGTGGAGTGTCCAAGATTCGTGGAGTGAGTCTTGACTGGTTTTGCTCTGCTATTTGAATTTGTACAAAAACCTTCAGGCATAGGTGTTTTATTGCCAGTACACAGGATGTTCATCAGTATAGCGAAAGCCTCATCTTTCGTGAGCAAAGGAGACATGCCGGGACCTTCTGCAAATTCTTGTGGTGTCAAGCTCAGAAATCTTATCTTTACGAGGGCATTTCCAATGACGGATTTTAAACATTTGCCATTGGCTGAATCGAGAGACTTTCTAGAACATTCCGATTTGGCCCATCGCTCCATCGCGGTAAATAATTCTATTTCCGAGCTGATTTGCAAATCGTCCTGCTCCAAGACCTTGAGAAGCGTTCCTAGCTCTACATCTTCCCAACTGGCTTCCTTCAACACTTGATCCGTCTTGGTGCGTATGATCTGTAGACATTTCTCCATTAGGACAGGTTCCTCAAAAAGCTTGGCAAACTCGTATGCTCTGCATGCTTTCTTCGGCGAAAGATCACACCACAGATATTTTGTACACTCTTCTACCAAAGATGGCAGCATGTATTTTTTGGCGCAGTAACATAACTCGCAGGCCAATTCGAAGGAACCCAGTTCAACTTTATCTGTATATATATACTCTAGTAGGGCCTTGAATGCTTCAGGCTGAACATCCCTTATCGGTATCGGATCGTTTTTCTCTGCCATACCACCAAAAAACATAGCTTCGAAGACCGGACTGGACATGGCCAGGAACAGTTTATGACCCTTGAGAGTCTGTTGCTGGGGTTCCTGGCCGACAATGAAATTACAGTCGGACCATTGTCCAGTCTCCAGCAGATGCTGGCCACGCTCCGACAGTTTCTGCTTGCTAGTCTGCCAGTCGCAGGGTAAACTCATTTTCGCGGTGTGTTACACATGTACTCGAGCTGCAACGTGAACGGAAAGTCACCAGAGAATGAATCGGAGGCTCACGTGCCAGGAAGCGGCCCGCGCAATCACGTTACGTACTCACCTATTTCCGTTAGCGCTATAAATACAGCGTACAATATTCACACGTAACAGCCAAGAGGAAGAGGAACGCAGCGAGGTGCGTGCGCGGGAAAATCAGCCAGCCAGTTACCCTACCCGGGAGACGACCTGATCCTTATCGTTCTCGATGCTCGTTCAGCTTCACTCACCTCGCTGATACTCATGCGTCGTTAGCGTCGTAGCAGAACGCTACGCCATCTTATTGTTAGACCGAGAGAGTTCCCGTTCCCACCATCGCATCATTCGCATCGTCGTCGCCGCCACCACCGCTACCAGCTTTTCAAGGCTCCACTTTCCCCCAGTCGCCCGTGCTGACCAGTGCCGACACCAGCCGACACTACCGAGCCTGCTGACGCTTTTCAAAGCGATTGACGCTTGCTTCGTGCCACTGCTCCGTTCTCAACCTCGAGCGACGTCAACGACGTGCTTGCGCGCGCCCTCCCTGCCTTCCGCCTTTGGCAGTTGGCTCCCCTCTTTCGTTTTGCCCGTAGCAGGCCGCAGTACCCGCTAGCGGTAACGCGCAAAGTGGCGCAAAGCAAAGCTTCCTCCGGCTGATTTCAGACCGAACACGCTCACAGCGGCGATCGATAATCCCGCGGCGCGGAAAGCGAGAGATCGACGCCGCGGAAGTGCCGTAACGTGGTGTCCGCTGGTGTCCACCGTCTCTCCTCCGTTGAATCGTGGACCGCACGCACGACACGGACTCGTCGTGACTGTCGTGATCGTGACGCGACGTTGCGAGAGGATCGCTCATTAGGATTTCTGTCCGCGCGGAAACGGCGCGCGTTACCGGAGGGTTCTAGGCAAGAAAAAGAATAAGACAGACGGAGCAAGAAAGAAGACAAAAAAGAAAGCGGAACAGAAAGAAAGAGAGAGAGAGAGAGAGACGGATTCTCAATTTCTGTAGCTTTTGACGACCGTTGTGAATTGGCCAGAGTCCATCAGAATACTCCAGAATTGGCCGAATGGCGCACGCACGGCTCAGCTGTACGTCCGTGCGCCTCGCGGAATAATGCATCTTCCTCCCGGGGATTTCTCTCGTCTGGATGACAGCGCCTGCCAGCGACGGAACGTAGGGTGACGTCGATGAGGTGAGGTACGTAGGCGGTACGTCGCCGCCGTCGCCGGTACAGCGCGGCGCAGTCAGGCGTAGTGATCGCAGGAGGTTGCATCTTGACGGAGCCCTCCGCGAGCGTGATATTTCCCTACCCTAGATTTCCCCGGGGGAGACGCGATCCCACCGTGATGCGATCGCGCTCGCGTCCTCCGATCCGCAGGGAAACGGGCGAGGGCGAGGCTTGTCGCGCTGCTCGCGTTTGACACGTTCGCGACGTGTCGCCGTAAAACCGTTGGCCGTTGACGTAACCTCCCTCACGTTCGAGGACGTCGGCGTCTTCAGGGGGAAGAGAACGTCGGGATCGCTCTTTGTTGAACGCGCGCGGATCATCGTCGCCTCGTAAATTACGCGCGGATGAGTCATTGCCCTGTTGAACGACACGCATATTTTTACGCTCTACGCCGTCGCTGAAACGTCCTTGCCGCGAGCTCGTGCTCCGATACTACGTTTACGTGGACATATCGTATGAGGTACGTCCAGCGAATATCTACGTGCTACGCATTTCCAGTTGTTTGTTTTACCTTGACATGGTATAATGTACTGTAACGTTATATGTTCCCCCTTTCATATATCCTGTATATTACATAAGAACTGAAAATATTGCCAAGCCACACAAACGCGCATTTTTTTTTGTGTCCCTTGATCCGCGATGTTTAGGAAATAATTTTATGCCATTAAGGTAATGTAAAGTGAACTCGATGATGCGATGCGTCTAGAATTTTACGTATTGTTTATACAAGGTGCTTTCCAAGACACGAGTGACAAAATGCGTTCTGTTTTGCACTTGTAAGCATTATTTGTTCTTGTTTGATAGATAGAATGAATTGATGCTTATAGCGTGTAAACAGAAGCGTAAAAACGGAACGCATCCAAAGTATAACACAGTGAATCATTACATCCTTGTTTGTCACTGTTAAACGCAAAGATGAAATGAGTCTGTTTTTTTATTCTTACATTAGACAACTTCTTTTCTCGTTTTTGTCAAATATCAAACATATATTTATTTTGCTTTAAGTTCCAAAACTGTACACTGCATAGTTTAGCTATAGAAAATAGACCTATATATGATTGTTGTGTTATACAGGGGGTGTGTTTTCCATCTAGTGACATAAGTCGATATAAGTATCATTTCATCTTTCTTGGTATTCAGAGAATAACAAATATAGACCGACACTTGCATTGACTTGTGTTATCAAATGGGAAGCATCCTGTATCTCAGCTGGAAAGCACGAATAATTACCTAGAAAGATCCGGCATTTGTATACTTATATTTATAATATTTGTTTGTTTAGAAAGTATGGAGCGTTCATCGGACGTCGCAGTTACACCTCGCTCGAGTCGTTTCTACATTTAGCCTTACGATAGATCTCGATAGTCTTTAATGCGACAGAAACAGTACGTTGTTGAGGCACAGTAATCCAAACTCCTGTAAGGAGAGATGGATGCGGTGTGCGATGAGGACAGGCGGAGACGCCTGTGGGCTTTGGAGGAGCGTATAAAGGATCCTAGAAGTGTCACGAATATCGACTGCTTGTTGGACACGGTTCAAGCCCTGGTAACAGATTGCGATCATACCAGTGTAAAACGTATGAAGAATATAGAAGCTTATATGAATAGATGTAAGTATTATGTTTTAATGTTTGTTAGTTGCTTTTTGTTTTTGCACAAGTGTACTAAGTCAAAATTATGTAAATATTTTATACTTAGATATTGATGTCACTATTTAATTACTTTGGTGATAAGAGGTCTGTTCTTTTTTGAAGAGTTCTTAGTGCAATAAGTTAGAGTGAAACCAACTATATCTGTTTTACTCTAACTTATTGCATCAGCGTACATTAGTTCAGAACTTGGAGTGGAAAAAGAACCTAAAGTTATCTTATATATATATAATTCTTTGTAATTAATTTAATTAATTGTTATATACGATAAACTTTAATTGTGTGCAACAACATCCAGCATTGACTTTCAAAGGCTTTTTATTTTATTTGATATATATAATTCTCGTCATATTGACTAAAATATTTGATAGATTTAACTATAATGTTTAATTTATACTTCTCTGATTGAATCTACTAGAATTCCAATTAATGTAACAAGAATTTTTTTGCAATGTATTATTATCACAAGCATGATACTCACTCGCTTTTGGAATCTTTAATAACCATGTTATCGAGATAAATAATATTGGCTTGTGTTCTCTCTTACAGATGACTCTGTAGCCCAAGAGATTTTTAAAATGCGAATGCGCATGGACGATTTTACTTTGATAAAAGTAATCGGTCGCGGCGCGTTTGGAGAAGTGCAGTTGGTTAGACACAAATCTACGCAAAAAGTTTACGCTATGAAATTACTTAGTAAATTTGAAATGGTAAGATTCGCTTACTCGCTTGTTTCCATTCGTTTGTCCAAGTTGTGTAAATGTTTCCTTGTATCTGGCTTTTACGCTCTCTGTTTAGATTAAAAGGTCGGATTCCGCATTTTTTTGGGAAGAAAGAGACATAATGGCTCACGCAAACTCACCATGGATAGTCCAGCTCCATTTTGCGTTCCAAGACCAAAAGTATCTCTACATGGTGATGGATTACATGCCGGGCGGAGATCTGGTTAACTTGATGTCGAATTATGAAGTGCCAGAGAAATGGGCAAAATTTTACTGTGCCGAAGTGGTGCTCGCATTGGACGCGATACATAATATGGGTTTCGTTCATAGAGATGTGAAACCGGACAACATGTTGCTCGATAGACATGGCCATTTGAAACTTGCCGACTTTGGCACGTGTATGAGGATGGATGCTGTAAGTGTGCTGGATCTTTAATTTTTATTTTACATTTTAAATACCTAATATGAAATAACTTATATTTATGTAAGCATCCTAATTGTGATTTATTAAAACAAAATAAATATTTATTTTAATATTTTCACGGTTGCTTTCTATACAGAAGCTATGCGAGAGTTATCTTTGTATCTAGATCCATTATTAAAATGCCAACGTTTCGTCCACATTGTAGTTTACTTTATTGGAATGAGGAGCAACCTTGTATGAAGTAAACTGCAGTGTTGATAAAACATTTGCATTCTACGGATCTCGACACGAAGATAACCCGTGAAATGCTTCTCTATAATAAATACTTCTGTTGTTAATTAAAGAGACAATTTTTGTAAGTTTGAAAAAAGACTTTGAATGAAAATGTTACAAATAAAAATTTAAATTTTCTCTTTTTCTAGTTAAATCTTTTTTTCTCTCTGATATTCTCTCAACTGTTTGTCTTGTAGGATGGTTTAGTGCGATCTGATACTGCGGTTGGTACACCCGATTACATATCTCCGGAGGTTCTGCAGTCACAAGGTGGAGAAGGAGTATATGGTCGCGAATGCGACTGGTGGTCCGTGGGTGTCTTTTTATACGAGATGTTGTTTGGCGATACACCGTTCTTTGCCGATTCTCTAGTCGGCACATATTCTAAGATCATGGACCACAGGAATTCGCTGTACTTCCCTCAAAATGTTGAGATATCTCACTCAGCGAAAAACTTAATATGTGGCTTCCTCACCGATAGAACAAAGCGCCTGGGTCGCAATGGCGTCGACGAAATCAAAAGCCATCCATTTTTCAAGAATGATCAATGGACCTTTGATAATTTGAGGGAATGTGTACCGCCGGTAGTGCCTGAGCTTTCCGGGGACGATGATACCAGCAATTTCGATGATGTTGACAAGGAGGATGGGCCAGAGGAGAGTTTTCCAGTACCTAAAGCTTTTTCCGGAAATCATCTGCCTTTCATCGGATTCACTTATTCGGGTGATTACCAGCTAATGGTTACTTACGGCAAGGAATCCGTGGATGGTCTTGAGAATCACGTCAACAATGGTACTACCGACGATATCAAGATTTCGCAGCTAGAGAATTTATTGGAACGTGAGAGACGGCAAGTGGAGACGATGGAGTCGAGACAGAAGGCACTAAACACGCAATTGGAAACGATGGCATGTCGAGAGGTTGAGTTGCGCGAGGAAGTTAGCAGGGCGGATAAGGAGTTGACGCTACTCAGGCACAACTATAAAGAGGCGCAACGCAGAGTAGAGCACGAGACAGAAACTCGTCGTAAGGCGGAGTCACTGTTGGTAGAGGTAAAGAAAAAATTCGATGAGGAGCAGACGAGACGGGCGCGAGATGCTAGTAACTCACAGCAGACATCCGAGCGAGTGACGACGTTGGAGAAACAGATCAAAGAGATGCAATGCAAATTGGAGAGAGAAACGGAAACGGTTACGAGATTACGCAAACAAGCGACGGAAATCACCGTGGCGCGTCAAGCCGCCGAGCAAATGGCGAATGAATTGCAAGTTGCCCGAGCTCAGTTGCAAGCACAGCGTGACAACTTACAACAAGAAGTTGCTACTCTCCAGGTATAATTTACTACAATAGTTTTTTCTTGTTCTCTCTCTCTCTTATTACAGAACAGTTTTTAAAATAATTTCTGTGTGTGGATACATGTAAAATTCCGAAAAATTACAATTTATGTACAAATTACAGTGGTTTTCATTTATAGAATGTAATATTTGAAATTTACAAGACAAATGTTTTTCCTTTTAAAATGAAATTATTTTTTTCTACGTGAATTATTCGATTTTTTACAGGGCCAGCTTTCCAAAGAACGTAGTTCGAGATCGCAAGCGTCATTATTGACGGCCGAATTAGAGACTCGTCTTTCCACTTTGCATCTCGAGTTAGAACGTAGCCATGAGAAAGAGGAGAAGGCGACTCTGGACAACAGGCAACTAACTGAAAGAGTTTCTGCGTTGGAGAAAGAAGCTGCTAGCTTAACATTGGAACTGAAAGCCGCGCAAGCTAGATATAATCAGGAAGTTGTGGCGCATCAAGAGACGGAGCGTTCGCGTATTCTTTCCAAGGAAGAAGCCAATCTGGAAGTTGTAAAAGGTACTTGCTTCAAGTTCACATGAAATTAGAAATATTATATTATTGATAAAGTATATTTTACTTTATCTATGCAATGCAGGACAAAAGAATGGAATTTTTGAAGGTAATACATATGATCGCAAATTTATATCTTTTTCCCTTTTGTAACATGTGTATGTTCATAGTGTCTAGCGGTCCTTAAATATCCTTGGATCCTGGAATTATACTGGAATTTTATGTATTCTGGAAAATTCCTGGAAAACTTCTAAAATTTCGGGGCTAGCTTGAAATTTATTAATTTTCCATTCTAAAAAGTCAGAACGTGAAAAAAAAAGAAATAATAAAAAGAAAAGTTGTGTTTGATCATAAATCCTTCTTTAAAGGTGCAATAAGTTACCAATAGAAAACTTGAATTTAATGTCTAAAATAGAACATAGTAAAAAAATCGTTTGTGTTGACGGAACGTTCGTTTGATATTATTTATAAGGCAATAAATAATATTGTTCTCAATTTGTTATCGTTTTAATTCATTCGTATAGAATTCTAAATACAAAATTCTTGAATACAAAACGTATAATATTGCACGAATCGAAAATTAATTAAATAATGAAAATTAATCGATGGATAAATCCTAGAAAAACCAGGATTTTTACCTGTAATGTCCTGGAATTATCCTTGAATTGACTAGCCAGATTTTGCTGGATACCATAGTATTTAAATTATGTAATTTTACACATACATTGAATTTTTCTCATTATACTAATCATTTATCTATCTTCTTATTATTGCTGCGTATTTTTCTAATGGCATATCTAATTTTTTTACGTACGTATTTTCATTCTAATTTCTATGTATATATACGAATTTAAGGAATATACACCATTACTTACATTGCACATATTGATTTATTAAATAGCTCTACAAGTAAAATTAAACGAGGAGAAAAGTGGAAGACAACGTGCGGAATTACTTGCGCAGGAAAAGGAACGACAGACGTCAATGCTCTCTGTCGATTATAGACAGATACAGCAACGATTGCAGAAATTAGAGGGTGAACACAGGCAAGAGATGGAGAAAGCCAAAGTTTTGCAGGGCCAAGTTGAACAGGAGCAACAAAAAAGAAACGTTCTGCAGACCGAATTAGGCCAGCAAACGTCCGAAGCCGGCAGACTTCGCGCTCGCGAACAACAATTAGTCGGAGAAGTTGCTCAGTTGAGGGAAGCTAAGCGGCAAATAGAAGAAGAGTTACATCACTTGAAGACACAAAGAAACGTCGATCAGTTACAGACAAAGGAACTGCAGGAACAACTGGAAGCCGAAGCTTATTTCTCGGTAAACAACAAAATTTCAATATGATTTTAATTGTTTGACAATAAAAAAGAATACGAATGAAAAATGTTAAACGTGAAAAATATTAAAATATAAAAACTAACGATTCAAAGATGTATGTGTTTACTTATGAAAAATTGTCATGAAATTGAAATTTTTAGAAAGAGTTCTAGCTTTTGTCTTTCCTTTTTTTTTCAGACTTTGTACAAAACACAGACACAAGAGTTGCGCGAAGAGTTGGATGATAAATTAAGAGCACAACAAGAATTGGAAGAAGAACGTAGCTCTCTTGTCCATCAGCTGCAGTTATCTTTGGCGCGCGGTGACAGCGAAGCTCTGGCCAGATCCATAGCCGAGGAGACTGTGGCGGATTTGGAGAAAGAAAGAACCATGAAAGAGCTAGAGTACAAAGACGGAGTAACTAAGCATCATCAGGAATTAAGCGCGAAGGAACAGATCATAAATAGACTTAAAGAGAACGAGAGTGAATTCAAGAAATCAGTTGATCAAACTCTGAAGGAAAAAGAAGACTTGAGCAAGCGATATAAGGAATTGCAGGAGCAACTTGGTAAAGCACAGTCCAACGTGGAGGAAATTGAAAAACTAAGCAGCAAATTAAAGACTGAGCAATTATTGAAGCAACAGGCAGTCAACAAATTAGCCGAGATCATGAACCGAAAGGATCTTTCGTCAAGTGGAAAGAATAAGAATAAAGCGTCCGCTGCAGATCTTAGGAAGAAGGAAAAAGATTGCAGGCGTTTGCAGCAAGAACTCACTCAAGAGAGGGAGAAGTATGGACAACTGGCAGCTAAATGGCAAAAGGATTTGCAGGATTTGCAAGTAAGCGACATTATTGTTTGTATTGAGTTTATAGAACTGTATACAGAATTACTTGAGTAGGTAGAAAATGATTTCATTTCTACAGGCGCAACTCGTAGAGGAGAATCAGGCGAAGCTAAGGTTGCAGATGGAACTCGACTCGAAGGACTCGGAAATAGAAACGCTGCAAATGAAAATCGCGTCACTCAACTCGGAAACTGCAAGTGTCTCATCTATAGAGAACGACGACGGTGAAGACTCTGTCCTGTCTGAGCACGGTACGATGAGATTGGAGGGTTGGTTAAATGTGCCAAATAAGCAAAACATTAAGCGGCACGGTTGGAAGAAGCAATATGTCGTTGTTTCTTCCAAGAAGATAATCTTCTACAACAGCGAAAACGATAAAATGAACGCTGATCCGGTCCTGATATTAGACTTGAATAAAGTCTTCCATGTTAGATCTGTTACTCAGGGTGATGTTATCCGAGCCAATGCCAAAGATATACCCAGAATATTTCAGGTATCTACATCACATTTCTTGATTTTTTGGATTGTTAGAAATTTGAATTTGTTTTATATTGCAAATTATTCTTTATAATTCTTCTTATGTGATTTTCTTATGATTTTTTTTGTAGTGCATTAGTAATTTATAATTTTTATCTATATATTAGAATACTTTTTCATATGCAATTCATATATATTTTTTATATTTTATAAATTCATTATAACCTGTTATATAACATTTTGAAAAAATAATTTAGAACCTAAAGGATTCGTTTATTACATATATACTTCAATTTATATTGTTCATTAATTAATGTTGTACGCAGTTACTCTACGCTGGTGAAGGTGAAGCAAGGCGGCCCGGTGACGAGGGGAATACACTGCCTGGAGTGGATTTACCACAGCTCACAGATAAACCTGGTACTCAGTCGCTGAAAGGCCATGAGTTCGTGTCAATATCTTATCATATGCCAACGACCTGCGAAGTCTGTTCGAAGCAACTGTGGCATATGTTTCGGCCTTCGCCGGCCCTCGAATGCCGAAGTGCGTGTTGCATCATAATTATTTATTTGTACTTATTTATATATATACTTTTTCGTATTTTTATGTTCTAAAACATATAATAAATCAACCTGACTAAGACTCCTTATAAATCAGAAAACAAGGAAAGCAACATCTCCCGCGCTTGACTCCTATTGCCCTTGTTCTTTCCTTGTTTTCTGTTTTATATTCTAAAATTGTATATAAAACAAATATCATTTTGTTATGCACAGGGTGCCGTATTAAAGTTCACAAGGAACATTTGGATAAGAAAGAAGATGCCATAGCCCCGTGCAAACTACACTATGACCCGAACAGCGCCCGCGAGCTACTGCTGCTCGCGGCTAATCCTGAGGATCAAAAGTATTGGGTCTCGCGGCTATCCAGGCGCGTCCAGAAATGCGGCTACAAGGCGAATTCGCACATGGATGGCACGGGACAGCGCGTCTCGCCAAGGTAGCGTAGCCGTGCTGCTGCTCGACGTGAGCGGGGACTAAGTAGCTCTCTTATTTTGTGACGTCGCATGATGTGGGTGTAGAGAGGTTAGACTCGTTTGTTTTTTCTTTCAATTTCTCCATTCTGTTTTCATTCTCATCCAACACAGTCTAATACTTCCTGTTTTTTTTCGATGCACGACTCGTTATGTGCACAGTTGACATTAAATAGACGGTCGCATCTTTAATGTTATTTAACATAAAATCGCTAAGCGAAAATTAATAAAATTTTTTATAAAAATAGAGTAAGAGAATTAAGGCGAATGAAGTAACATTATTAATTAACGAACATTTTATCATTAACGTAGACAAATTTAATTTTTTTTTTGTTAATAGTTTAAATATGATAAATTTTGTATTTATATATTTTTAAATCTATTGATTTTATCTATATATAATCAAAATCCATTACTTGGAAGTACTTTATATTATAGCTTATTTATACATTTATATATTATTTATATACGTTATCTCATGTCTATTTAAGGTAAAATTCTTCAATGGGAAAGAAAAAATATAATTATTTCTAGATTTTGTATATATTTATGTACGTATTAACATAATGCATGACATTAATTGTGAATGATAATCAAGACTGATTGCACAATTAGATCAAGTGTGTTAAAAAAACATGTATCGATTAAGAATAGCATGTTCACATGTACCTAAATGTTTCACGCACGAGGACATTTTAGCTTTCGACACTCATTATAAATCATTAGATTAGCTCTTCCACCACCTTTCAATTTGCACGAACAATCGTTCTATTACTGTGCTTTTTGGTGCTTTTATGGCTTTGCAATGATTTTTCACTTATATTATCGATTAAATGATATATAAGCAACAGATATATGTGACAACAATTTCCTTTTTAGGGAATCCACAAGGTCGACTTTAAAGCCGTACTTATCGGTGCAACAACGATCTGCAACATTGCCAGCGAACGCCAGTATGGGCAAGTGATCATGGAAGAGACTAGTACTGGCGATTTTAAAACAACTCCGCTTACGATCTGATGTCCCACTTCCTTCGATAACAAGTGGAAATATCGGACTGTCGTAACCAACTATCACGACCTCGCGATTTTCTCTACGCACCTGACGACCGCAGTAGACTGTCAATAATTTCCTAGATTGAGAGCAATCGAAATAGCGATCGCGATCGTAATATTACTATTTGCAGCTAAGAGTAAGTGTGAAATCCAAGTTTGAGAATCGCTGGAGAAAACAGGGTTATTTATATATCGGATGATAAACGGATATGATATGGGAGGGAAAATAGTCTCTTTGCGCGCCATTGTCGTTCTCGAAACGATAACACAGAATCACAGAGATGAGCTATGTTCTTCGGAATCGCTAGATAGTTTATTCGTGAGCGACGATAAAATAGTGTAATAATCTTTTTGTACATTGTATTCATCATACTCACGATAGATTGTAGAACATTCTTTCGAAGGATAATCGAATTTCTGTGATGATTTTCCTGATTGGAACTATACTCGACTTTGTACGCACATTTCTTACTGCCTTTGATAAATGTTGTAACGGCGAATCTTGATGGAAACTTTTAGCTTAAGTCATTTTTTGGATGCTTTAAACCGAAATTTCGGAAACTTGTATTAAAGAGTATAGTATTTTGAAATTGTTTTATATATATATATATATATATATAGAACGTTTTCCGAGACCGTGTGTGTCAGTAGATACATGCATGATTCTTGTTTTTAACATAACTTGCGTCTTAGAATGGATTTATTTAATGTCTGATATTTGAAGTGTTTCTGGGCAAAGTTATGTTTTTTCGAGAAGATATAAATAGCTGAACACGCGTCCGAGGATTAACGTTTTTATCAAAGTTTGGCACGTGAGTCGGTTCTGCGGACATTGCAAAAAAGAAGCAATATGCTACTTGCAACATTGACTACAGCGTATGGCGCGTATACGGAATATGCCAGCTTTTGTATAGTAGAGATTAGAATGATTATGGCTGTAAGATAATGGGGTTTCTACAATAAGTTCATTACCTAAGCTTCAAATCTTAAGCTATAAGAAATTGACCAATCATAATCGATTATTCTTTTTACATTCGACTGTAATTGGTTAAAGTCTTATAACTTAAAACTTAGGTAATATAGTTTATTGGATGATGATGCCCATAACAATTTTTATTATGATGATATACATAAGCTAATGATGTCCGCTGAATCCCGACAGAGAGAATCAAAGACAAAGAGAGAGGGAGGAAGAGAAAGAAAATGCTAAGAGAGGACAAACTAAGAAAATCATGCGTAATCGAGAGGGAGCGATAAAAGCGATAGAAGTGATAGAAGCTTCGTCATGGTGCCATCGGCTTTGCCATCTTTGGCATCAAAGAAAGCTATAAACAAGAAATAAGAGGAAAACTAGGAATGATTTTAGGTTTATTATTAACGCGTCATCGCCGTCTGTGTTCTTTCCAAAATACCTCCGCGAGACATCGTGCCGCGCCGAGACTCGTCGGTATGAAAAGAGTCGCTTACATCGACATTAGTCAGCTAACTATAGTTATGATTAAGTTAAACTCTTTTTTTCCAGAAATTAAACTTAAAGTTATCAAGCAAATATTAATTATGTGTCTTTACTCTTCCAGAGTCGGAACCTGGAAAGAGATTCGTCTATATTTCTAGGAAGAACTAGGAAAAGTTTTGCTTTTTTCCAGAAACTATATTTCTATTAATTTTTATTTATGAATGATTTAGAAGAGTCAATGATCAGGCTTGAATTAAACAATAGAAGAAATAAAAGAAATAGAAATAAGTTGCAAGGTTAGTGCTCAGCATTTATTATAGCAAACTTTGGATTAATTAAAAAAGTACTTTTATTTAGATTATAACAATTTTTCAAAAAATCTCTTTATTTGTGAATTATAACTAGAATTAAATGAAGAATGGAGAGTTGCTAAATGAAAGAAATAGTTAACTAAACCTTATCGGTGTAAGTGACTCCAAGAACTCAGCGAGATGTCCCTCACATGGTGCTCCTCCCTGTCCTGTCCATCCTTTTGGTTCGACGAAGCAGTGAAAATGAACAAGAAGCTGTCGAAAACTTCTTGTCGCGGTGGTAATTGAAATTAAAAGTATGAGGGAGAGAAAAAGAAAGGTGCATATTGAAATCGAAAAGAAACACCATCCGATACTGCCCCGTGCCTTCTTCATTGTTTCGGTCCTTCATGAGGCGGAACTAGAAGAAAATTGACAATGAGAAGAAGAGAAAGCATGAAAATGAGAACGAAAATGTAAGTGAATGAGTGAGTGAGTGAGTGAGTGAGTGAATGTGCGCGTGTGTGTGTGTGTGTGAGAGAGAGAGAGAGAGGGGAGGAAGAACTTGTTACAGCATATTTTATTATTGTTTAGTTATTTACAATCTGTATATTATTAATATTACGATTAAAAGTATTTTGTAGATAATATGTGGCTCTCTTTGATGGTACTTTATGACCACTGACTGTGCAACCTTCAGTTCAATTTTTTGCGTTGATCATGTTTTTAAAGCAATTTTCCCTATTTTTTAAATATTATTTCAATTATACTACGATCGGTGGCTTAAAAGCTGTTTTTGTTCTCGATTAACCATGGGCGAGTAGAATTCGTTTCATAGAATTAATCGAAAGTTCTATATACTGACAATTTTATAATGCAACATTGTCGTAATCGAGAGTGGATCTTAAGAAAAAGTCTCCAACACGCAATTAAGAACTACAAACTCGTTATATCATCTTTCTTTATCAGGGTTGCCACAGAACCGGAAAAACTGGGAAGTCATGGATATTGAAGTTGGTCATGGAAAACTGGGAAAAGTCCGGTTTTTGCTCACAATTTCCTTAAACTGTTCCTATTCCAAATAATTGTTACAATTTTTTAAATATTATATCTGACGTTTATAGTCAAATACGTTCAAAACTCGCGCACTTTAAATGATTTTAATAAAATAATTAAAATTTATATTTTATTCAGTATTTTTATTTGATCGCCCTCTTTCGTTATAATTGCATTCTTTTTTCTAATACTAATTTATTTTTTGTCGACTTGAATTTGCAACCAAAATTTTATTATGCTATTAAGCTTTTTTGCGTTATTTTTAATAATATAGGTTTATATAATAATATAGGCTTATATATAGGCTTTAATAATATAGCTTTTCCATAATCCTTGATTTTCTAAATTAAAATTTACATATTTTATATTGGCCACGGAAAATTTTCCACTTTCAACCGGAAAACCTGAAAAAAATCAGGGAATTTTTAAATTTATTTTCTGTGGCAACTCTGATTTATTTTCAATGAAACTTTCTCATTTTAATTGAATAATTTCGATACTTTTGAAAAAGATGTTGGCAAGCTGGATATACTCAATCTTAATCTCATTTGTGAAAACAATTTTTGAAAGAGATGTTTTTCCCAAAACACACGCATGGATTATAGAATCCCAATACAATTGGTGATAAATGATATACAATACTAAAATATGTGAGACAGTTAAATAAGTAAAATTTAAGTAATCTATTTTTGCAAATTTACCTAATCAAGAGAAATCAAGAATCCAAAGATAATTTTTTTTAGAGCGTTACAAATTTTTATGCATATGCATTAGTGTACGTCTACATTTGAAATCCTGCGTGTGAATGAGATCATGTGAGACCAGCATGCAAAAATAATACGATGCAAGAATCGAATAATCCATATCAATGAATAATTTTGATTTCGAATTCCAATAGCGGGATTCTCTTATCGATGATTGTCGCTATCGTTAGCCAGCGACAACTAATGGCGGTACAATCCTGGAAGAAAGAGCAGCTCTGATTGACTATCGCTAGTTAGTAGAATAGTAGAATGATAACGACAATTGTCGATAAAAGAGAATCCCGCACTGGTCATCTTCGTATTTAATCGTCATGCATAAATTTTGTAAACGTGCTCGATCAAATATCTCTATCCAATTACGTTTTCATAGTTGCTCTATATATGGACTAATCGCTTTTTGCATACTAGATCACTTATTTGGATATGTAACGCGGTTTTCGTTCTCCACGGTCGTTGCATTCTCTTCACCTCCACCTTAGCGTTTACCTTTCTTCTACTTTCCCGTGCGCGCGCATTGCGTTATTTAAGAAAGTATATTGACTTTCTTTGTCGTTCGCGATACATAAAAACTTTATTTATCGTCTTACCAATATCTCGTACAGTCAAGCCGGATGGGACGATGAATTTATACGTGAAGGATTTATTTAAGCAACTGACGGCTTCTATTGGCGGATCTAGAGATTTACCGAAGCAAGGATATACACATCCGAATATTTATGGAACTGTTGAATTTATAAATTTACGGATGAATTTATAAGATACAGAAATTTGTTGTTCAAAATACTCTACACGCAATTAAATTAACACGATTTTACGAAATATTTAACATCACATCAACGCACACGTGAACGGCTTATATTGGACGACCGGAACGAAGCGCTCTTTAAACATCACGTGAAATCTCGATACGGCAATAATCTGATATAAATCTTCGTTATATGTACAATACAACAGAGAAGGGATCCGTTCTCGCTAATGATACGCTATTATTTAAAGGCGAATAATCGATACACTCGTAAACACATGCATGCATGTCACGGATCGCGGGACATAATCTGACATGAGCTTAGGGGCCGAGCGAATACAGACGAGGAGAAAGAGAGAGATGGAGAATCTCAAACGGTGGGATACAAACGAAGAATCGTTGCTTTGTTCGCTTATGCAGTACGTACATATGTAAATTTCTATTTCCACATGCTTAACGACAATTAATTAAGCTGTAAAAATTACAAATTCAAGAAAAGATACTTGCTCTTCCTTTAACAGAGTGGGAACGATTCCACTTTATCAAAGCTAATTGTTACGTTTTTCAGAGTTTTCGAGCACGCACACCACGGCCTCTAACGCAATCATTTTTTTTTCTTCCATGCGAAGTTTTCGTATATCATCTTTCTTGAAAAAGAGATTTTTCATTCTCTTTTTCGCGAAGAAGCTTTCTTCATTTTTTTTCCTAATGAAAATTCCGTTCTCAGCTATCGAAGAAAGTTTCTTCATCTCCTCTCTTTTACCTTCTTTTCTGAAACAACTTTTTCTTTTTCTTTTCTCAAAAGAAAAATTTATCCATTTTTTCTTTCTTCACTTTTTCACGTCTCTAAAGCTCGTGGTGCCCTTCTGCGCTCGGAGTTTAATTTCTGACGAGACTGCGTAGTCTCGTAGCGAAGGATTATTTTCTTACAAGAGCAACCAGACCGCGATTCAAATGCGTCAATTTCGGTTTCATCGACAGCTTCGTCGGAGCTGGAGAGGATTGCTGATGGTTCCGGCTTGCTGCCTGCTGCATGTTTTGATGTTTCTTCTTCAATGATTCCTGTTTGGCACCTCTGCACAACGAAATTATAATTGTTAATGTTTTTTCTTTTTCAATTACTATATTTTTTTATGTTAATGTTAAAATTTACAATCAAAATTTTGCTAATAAAAAAATCCTTTTTACAAGGACAGAAGTTATAATAAGTCATAAATTTTGCATATATCTTTATTAAGTCTGTAAATAATTTCGTGAAAACCGAAGAATTAATAAACAATTAACTAAAGAAAAAAAAAAGAAATTTTAATATATTGTTTTTACGAAAGAATGTTATAAGGTCTTTAGATTATAAATTTTAGAACTCACAAGTATCGAGTGAGATCTTCCACATCAACGAGCATTGAATCTTGCTCCATATGCAAATCGTCTCTCCTCAGAAGACCTTCGACGAGCGCTTCGTTTAATGCAGCAATCCTCGCGTGCAAATCATTCGCTACTACCTGCAGCTGCGCGACATTTAACTCCGTGAGAAGTACACGGGATAATCTGCGTCTGTCCTCTCCCAGCTGTACACCGACCTGAAAACATGTATAACATTCAAAAGCTTTATTAAATAAGAAAACGCAGATCTTGGAAAGGAATCTCTAACGGCGTATTAAGATTACATTACAGGTTCTACAGACAAAATTAAATACTTGTAGAATTTCATAAAAATGTTAGACATTAAAATTTTTCTACATTTTTTTTACTAATCTAAAGAATCAGATGTATATTGACATATCTAATCAATAAGTTAAAAAATTACAGGTTCAGTTTATTTTATATATATATATATATATACATACACACACATAAATCTCGTTTAGAAATATATCTATTTAAATTTCATATGAATTAATTTACTAAAAATCCGAAGTGCCATATTAATCTTTTTTTAACAATCGTAATTTACAGAAGTATTGATAATGCATGCTTTGTTAGCTTTTTTTATTCAGAATTTTTTTTACCATAAAATAAGAAATGGAGTTTATACATGACCTAAACTCTAAAGTATTGTTAATCAATAAATTGAACTCTACTAACTTTTTCTAAACTGCATCGCACCATCTCGGTGATAGGACTCTGTTTCAACCTCTGTCTCTCCACTTCCATTTGCATGTGTGCCATTTCCTTGGCCTGTGCTAGGGCCATTCGCGCTTCAGTTTGCAATCTAGCTTGCCGCGCAAAGAAGTCTGCCTCATCGATCGGTGGTGTGGAGTTCGCACCCATATCAAGTCTTAGAGATGGCAGACTCAACATCTGCGGCCTTGT